AATAAAGACAATTTTTGTTTTCATTTATAAACTACCCTTTTACATTGTATCAATGATCATTAGCACTGAACGATGTAGACTCTCTCTCTTTCCCTCACTTCCGATTACTCTTTTCATCTCACTGTTTCTTAAATGTTCTCTTTTAGTGCAATGTAATACATAGTTGAGTGTGTGTGCTCTCTCTCTCTTTGATTTATACATACACACACACATATATATATATATATATATATATATATATATATATATATATATATATATACGTACATACACACAGTACTGGTATGGTAGGATAAAAAAAAAGAAAAAGAAAAAAAAAAAAACATATTATAACTAATATTGTTTTTCCTTTCTCTTTGGGGTCTGAACAGTAAATACAACGAAAAGGACCATGCCTGTTCATTGACATGTGACCCTTAACACTCTTCCTGAAACAGCTTACTGAACTGCCTACTGAAGCATCGTGGGTAGAGGAAAGAATCTGAGGCGGCCGGATTTTTCTGATATTGAAGTTTATCTCTGAGAAACGTCTCTAAGCCAGTGGAAAATAGCCAAGAAAGTGGGTGTTTTCAAAACTTGATTTTTTTTTTTTTTTTTAATAAACTTGAACATTTGGGAGCCTATGCACCCAATGGCCCAGGAAAATGTAGAAGAAAGTCTATCTCCTCTCCCAAACAGGACAGCAAGTTTGTAAATATGATTAAACACGATCGCTCAAAGTCATCCTAGCAACTGACTAATGCTATGGCGTCAAGAGCAAACCCCTTACAGTCAAAAAAGTTCAATGGGATGGGATACCTGCATGTACGTCAATTAATCGTAATTGTGAGGAAGAAAAAAAACTGGCCGGAGCACAGGCTCACAAGGATGGGACATCAGATGACTGAGAAAAGGTAAATTTCACTTAGATCTTTTTGAGTGTGTTTTTGTGTGATTCAAACATAATTTTGTGAAATTCATATGCATACATGAAGAAAATATTGCATCTATTATGATGTACATGTTTGAAAAGCGAGATCAGGGAAATACAAATGGACAGACGAAAGTTTGTTAGAAGAACCAGCTTAAAGAAGGACCACCATAACTACAAGAGAGCACATATATAATACCATACTAGGTGCTTGTGTGGTATGTGATCTCTACCATTAGCACTTGAAGAATAAAGAGTGTAAAAAGTAATCTAAATCAAGTTGGATATCGTGATACCACATTGATAGTTTTCTGCGTCGTGAGTGGTTCCCACATAATTTTCATGCACAATGGAGCTCCCTGACACACAGCTAAAAGTTTTAAAAGCCATTTGGATAATCATGGTATTAGTGTGCTTGACTGGTCTGGAAACAGTCTACAATTAATTTTTGTTATTGAATGTTTATGAAATAACATGAAAGACGAGATAAGCCAAACAGAATGTACTAAAAAAGCTGAATTGATAAAGGTATGGCATAAACCCAGAGATCAGGGAAAAGGCCCGCCGGTACATTCGACTCATGCCAAGACATATATAGATATTTACGACTTAACCCATTCCCGCCGGGCATGCCATGCCATGCCCACTGTGAGATTACTTATTGGATTGTTTTTACACATAGATGGCTACACTTGTATTAAATCACCAATGAGCCAGTTACGAGTACCGCCTGTCTCGCCCGTTCACCCTTTTCTTTGATTTACGAAATATTTTACGTTATCTTATTTTGCTGTTACTAATGTAAAAAAAACATTATAAAAATTATAATGTTTATAATAAAAATAACGCCATCGATATCCATGGCACTAGTAAAAAATACGTTTTCAAATCAGGCACTAACAGAGCCATCTATGGGCAGACTATTCACCAAAAAAATATAGAAAATAGGCTCAGCATTTTCCCCATTTTTTGTTCATTTTCCCCGGCGGCAACGGGTTAAGTTGGCTGTTCTGATTACTAACGTCATGTATTTAAGGATGTATGCAAATTGTGTGTGTGTATGTATGTATGTGTGTGTGTATGTATGTATGTGTGTGTGTATGTATGTGTGTGTGTGTATGTATGTGTGTGTGTGTGTGTGTGTGTTTGTAAATAGATAGATAGATATACATACATATATGTGCGTACACACACACACACGCAATATGTATATTTATGTGTGTGTGTGTGTGTTTGTGTGTGTTTATATACATACATACATATATATAAATATATATATATATATATATATACACACACGCACACACACACACACACATATATATATATATATATATATTATACACATACACGTGCGCGCGCGCGTGTGTGTGTACATATGTAAAGCTGAAATGAATGAATCATTTCAGTGATATGATCAGCTACGAAAAAAATAAATAAATATCCAGCATTTCTACATATAGTGACTTCTCTGTGACAGACGTTCCTTAAAATCAATACCTACAATTTTTGAATCATTCTGAAGTAAGTTTACAGCGTGAAATAAAGCTTTTCAGTCAGCGACAGAATAGGGTGAAATACCCTGCTGAGTCATAGTGATCCGCTTTTTCATGACATTAAGATTCAGGGTTTATACCCCCACCCCCCAAAAAGAGAGTAAAAAAAAGAAAGGCAAAAGGGCAAAAGCTGAAGTAGTGATGTTTATCAATGCCCCAATATGTTCAGTATTTCGCTGAATCACGTGGAGGATGTTGAAACGTAGAATTAAATGTTAATGAATAAGTAAAAGATAACTAGAAAATGAATAAGTAAATAAACGTCTAGTATATACTCTCTATGTCCTTCAGTCCCACGACAATATGCTGCGGTATTCAAATATATGTTTCTAAAGCTTTTCTTTCAAAGACACTCTGTGGAGCTTATCATGATTATAGAGATATTATGAATTTGTTAGAATGAACAACTAACCCGAATGTTAGCCATACATTCTTACACAACACGCGCACACATAGCATATTGACACAACATGCACACACAAATCTCTCTCTAACTCATACAAATGTATGTACATAAGTACATTTAGGTTAACAGTGAGATAGTTAGATGGAAGACATACACATGTCGATATTACATCGCGGCGATGTAGCAATATAAAATAGAATTCTGCAGTAAAATCATTTTTGCGTGAAGATGAGATTTGTGCTTCAGTATGCCATGTTCTTGTCAATCACAACTGATAGTCATCAATATCAAATGCAACCTATTGTCTTCATCACTGTGTTCTTATTTTTATTAGTGTTACGAAACATTGCATGTATATCTGCAATATATTTGGATGTAATGATGATTAATTTTTGATTGCAACGAATGACTTTTTTATATCATGTAATATCCTTATGTAATCATTCTCTTCATCATCATCACCATCATCATCAGCGTCATCGTCATCGTCACCGTCACCATCATTGTCATCGTCATCGCCATCATTATCACCACCGCCATCACAATCATCCTCATCACCATTATCATCATTATCATTATCCTCGTCCTCGCCATCATAATCTTCATCAGTAATAGTTACTAAACGTAAAAAAAAAAAAAAAAAAAAAAAACATTAAAAAAATATTATCCTTGTTGTTGATGTTACCTTTATCATTACCTTCATTATCCATACTACCATTATATTCGTAGTAATAGTAGTAGTAGTAGTCCAACTAGCAGTAGTAATAGTATTGGTAGCAGTAGTAGTAGAGATAGTAGTAACATTACTGACACTCTTCAACTTCCTTGAATTATTAATAATATCATTGCTGCCATTACTGTAAATTGCAAAACTGTTTGCAAGAATAACACGAATGATCTGAAATAATTTATGATTTATTCCCCCCCACCCCCCCTACTCAAATTTGCCAAGGAAAAACAGAATGAACTCATGTTATTGTATGTTTCACAGAGCTCATCACAAACATGAAGGAATAGAGTAGGCTACTTCCTATTTCCTCTCCCAGTTTCCATTCCAGATTCAACATCGAACAACAAGAGACTGCAAATTAATTATCAGGACGATGTTGACAAGTCTGAACCAACTACATCCAAGACATCCGGTTCATCATCTTGACAATCATTACCATTCTGCGAAGAAAGCTACACCTACATAATTACATAATAAACAGTACGGCAACATGCCCATATCTTATCCAAAGAATCAGGTCAACGAGATACACAAAAGGTTAAACACTAAGTACAAATATGATTATGTTGCCTGAATAGATTATTATAGACCGAAATGTACAATATTCTAATGGATATGATAGAAAATGCGCTATATTCACTTATAGATCGGAGACACGTCATGCAGTATCCTTGTTGATGATAATTATAATAAAGATAACAATGATAGTAATAACAATGGTAATGATAATAGTAATGACAATGGTATTGATAAGAATAAGAATAAAAATCACGTTAAAATGATAATATATATTGTTACAACCACTGCAAGTACTTTACTACTAGTAGATATCATCTTATCTTTATCATTGTCAGCATAAACATTAGAATAGTTTTGTTACCAGAAGTAGTAATATTCATCACGATTACTTCATTACTTTTACATTTTGTCCAACCTAATGTTGTGATATATTTCAAAATCCAGTCCAGACTTGTACACTTTTAATCCTATTATTCATTCTCTCTCTCTCTCTCTCTCTCTCTCTCTCTCTCTCTCTCTCTCTCTCTCTCTCTCTCTCTCTCTCTCTCTCTCTCTTTCTCTCTTAAAACTTTTCATTCTGACTGAACATATTTTGCTAAGAGTTACCTCTCATGTTCCTTTCTCATACATGCTATGCTCTGAGATATTTATGTCATGGTATTTAAGTATAGCTCACTTGTCCTTGCGTCCCTGAAAGGTTTAATTAGTACTGCAATACAATACGTGATTCTGCTGACCACGTGATAAGTCTATTGAAATATTAATTAAACATTGCAATGACACAACGTTTCTTTTAGGGTAGACCACAGTAAACATTATGTAAAGGTCGCAACTATTAGACACAAGGACTATGACGATATAAAACGTTTTAAGTAATGT